TGAAAAGACTAAGAGAAAGTTGGGTACAAGTACAAACCCTAGAAATCTGTACCCCATATGTGCTACCCCACTATAGCCTACAGCAGCTAAGTCATATAAATCTGACACTGCCCGAATCGACAACAGTCAACGTCGCCGCAACGCCAACTTCGCCCTTCAAGCAGTCAAGTCGCCTCAACGCAAGCAAATCCGACAACTTCAGTACAAGTCTCAACAACATCGACGGGACAACCTGCGAAAGGAACAAGAAACATCGTCAGCTGCATGGCAAGGCTGAGTGACTCCTGCGTAACTGAGTCACCACCATATTACTCACCAGAAGAACAACTCGACAACAGCACGCCTCGCCGCGAGTCACTTCAACCGAACCCGACGTACGCCGCCATCGCTCAAAGCGAGCCGTCCGGGAAGGATACATGGTTCTTGGACAGTTGCTGCGGACAACATATGTGCTCTTCAGGACGTTTCGTTCAACGCGAGCACCAACTTCAACGAGAAGTCGTCATCACTGTCGCCAATAATCAGAACCTGCGCACACGACGACAAGGAGTAGTGCAACTTCAGTCACGAGAGACGAATGTCATACTGCAAATGTCCAAAGTCCTAATAGCAGAAGGACTTGGCTACAACTTACTGAGCGTCAGTCAGTTGATGGCGAAAGGCATACATCTGGAAGCCGACAGTACCACCCAGGAGTTCAAGCTGTACCACGGGAAGGGCGGCCTCTACATCGGAAAGGCGGTCCTGAAGAACAATGTCTTCGTTCTCGATTTCGTCCCAGACCTGGGCACCGCAGACAGTGACGGGAACGTCACCTTCACATCTTGGACGCACCCGCCGGATCTCGACCCCGACTTCAGTCCGGAAGGCTTTTGGTATTCACATACCATTCCTGAAGCAGAACGAACACGTGCGTTAGTAACAATACAACATTCGGCAGCAGCAGAGACAACATCGGCAGCAACAGAGACAACATCGGCAGCAGCAGAGACAACATCGGCAGCAGCAGGAACAACAACAGTAGTAGCAACAACGACACCACTCCTCGTTGACGAAGCACCACCAACACCCGCACAGCAGCTGAATCCGGCTCAACGGGAAGTCCATAGAAGCGCAAACTTCACCGCCAGCTTCTACTCCAACTCCGACGCGTATCGACGCTCACCCGGACACCGCGCCTCCGAAGACATCTGGCACGCACGCATGGGACACCCAAGCAACACTGTGTTAAACAACAGAATAAGAGCAGGAGTCCTTGACAAGGACTCGTTACTACTACTCGACGGCAGAGAACTTCAACGGGCACGAGGAACATGTCTTACCTGCCCCGAAGCCGACTTACCACATCGGCCGTTCACTCCTCATCACAACCCGAGCACACCCGCGTACGCACCACTCGAAAAGGTGTATAGCGACATCCTGTACAATCGGGAACCAGGACAAGTAATATACAACTACACAATCACCTTCATCGACGCCGCCACCCGTTACGTCTGGCATCTAAACCTACCCAGCCGCGACATGGTCCTCGAAGCATTCGCTGCTTGGCTACCAGTAGCAGAAAGAGAGTCGGGCGTAAAGCTGAAAAGCTTCCAGTCTGACGGAGGAGGAGAATACACCTCTCAGCGATTCAAGCAGTACCTGGCAGAAAGGGGAATCAAGCAGCTCCTCTCTCTTCCCTACGCCCATCAGCAGCAAGGTGTAGCAGAAAGAATGAACAGGACTCTGCAGAACAGCATGCGCAAACTGTTGCGTGGCATGCGGCTACCCAACCACCAGTGGCCTGACGCGATGGACCACGCTGTCATGCTGCACAACTTGCTCTCATCTTCATCACTACCGAACAACGCATCACCGCATCTGCTGTGGACAGGAAAACAGGGCAGCACAAAAATGTTACGAGTGTTCGGATGCATGGTACAGTACCGACCCCCAGCAGCACGAGCGGGCCGATTTTCACAACGCGCACAGTGGGGACTACACCTCGGCATCGAAAAGAACTACAACGCGTGGAAAATCTTTGACGTCCACTCCAAGGAAACAGTAGCAGCACGCGACGTCATTTTCTACGAACGACTCACGCTCCAGACATACCTTGCCAACCTGCAAGAGGACCAAGATCCCACAGGTGGTTTTCGTGGTGACCGAGCCTTCGCCTCGGCAGCAGACGAAGCTGACTGGGACGAGCAGAATGTGGCCAACGCATCAGAAGAAGCTGGACCCCTTCCGTTCTGCTCCGTCGACGTCCCCATGGACGAAGATAACCCTCGCGAAAGTGTCAACGCCGAAACCTTCTACTACTTCGCCGACAACGGTTACGTAACACCTGCGACAGTCAACACCAACGAAGCAGAACGAGTAGAACCGAATTTCATACCTGATCCAGAAGCGGGAGATGAAGCAGCTTATCCCGAGGATGCAACTCTTCCCCGCTACTCACAGACTGGACTGCAGATTCTCGGACTCGTCACCGCAGTCCACGGCAACACTCTTCCTAAGGAGCCTGCGACGGTTCAGCAGGCTCTGGGGGGGGAACACAGGGAAAAATGGCGTGAAGCCATGGACAGAGAGTTAAAGGCGCTGGAGGAACGGAACACCTGGAAAGTTGTCCCCATCAGCGTGGCAAGGAACAAGACCATTCTCACCGGGAAATGGGTCTTCCGCGTTAAAACAAAAGCAGACGGCACAATTGAGAAGTTCAAAGCACGCTGGGTTGTGCGTGGATTCGATCAGGAGCACGGACGGGACTTCACCGAGACATTCGCCCCGGTTAGCCGACATACCTCACTTCGAATCCTCCTCGCGATCGCCGCCATGAAGAAAAGGAAGCTACGGCAAATCGATGTCGCCAACGCGTTCCTCTACGCACCTGTCGACGTGGAAATCTTCGTCGAGCTCCCACACGGTACCAACGGGGAACCTAACCAAGTCTGTCAACTGTTGAAATCACTTAACGGGATCAAGCAAGCTCCGCGGCTATGGCAACAGTACCTACACGCTCGCCTCATTCGCATCGGATTCCGCCAACTACCTCACGACCAAGGAATGTACCGACTCACTAAAGACACCGACTACATTCTGCTGATCGTCTACGTAGACGACCTACTCTACATCGGCTCCACTGACGACATCACCACCTGGTTCGAAGGGGAGCTACAGAGGGACCTCACACTCACGGTCTCCTCTACCGTCACACAGTACCTCGGCTTGAACATTCGGGAAGAAGAAGGCGCGATCTACCTCAACGCCGCTAAGTACGCCGACACCATCGCCAAACGCTTCGCGCTCACACCTACCACCATCTCTACGCCCTACCGCCACGCGACAGGAAACCACAAGGAAGGATCCTCTCTACTCAAATCCGCCGGGATACGCGACTACCAGAGAAAGCTAGGATGCCTTCTCTTCGCAGCTATCACCTGCCGCCCCGACCTCTCATACTCCGCAAGCCAGCTCGCCACCTACCTCAAGAAGCCTGAAGCAGAACACCTGGCGGAGCTCGACCGCGCTCTCCACTACTTCGTCAGTACCTCAACGATCGGCCTAACTTACTACAAGAACACAACTACACCGACTAAATTAATCGGCTACGTCGACGCTGATCACGCTGGCGACTCCGACAACAGGCGCTCCCGCACCGGCTACATCTACCGCCTCGAACCTATCGGACCGATCTCCTGGCAATCGAGCAAGCAGGAATTAATTGCTCTCTCGTCATCTGAAGCAGAATATACAAGGACACACAACTGACTCGACATTGAGCAGTTGCCCGAGTCGCACTGTATCGAACCGCAACAGTAAAACAGTTTAATTATATCTCTTCGTATTCTTTGTACTCTTATATAAACCTTTGTACTTGCTTGTTTTAATCAACTTACTTTGCCCTCACATATCAGCGCAAGGTGGTTCAAGGACTTCATTTAAACGCTTCCGCTACTACATCACTCTACCCAGAGTTTAACCCTACCAAAGATACTAAGGGGCACTCAGCCCAACAGAAACTGCCACGTCAGAAGTTCCAGTACTGCTCGGACCTATGCGGAGTCACTCGCAAAAGCCACGTGGCGCACCTCCAGGAATGAAGGGGAGTGTTGGAGTGTGAAGGAAATTGTACTTGGCATTCCAGTAGGTGCAGTAGTATCGCACCTGACTCTGTCGCGACTGTTGACCATCTGGACCGACGCTTGACTTACCATCAAGGAATGGCAACAGGCGTAACCGTACAGGTTACATGCAGCGACTCGGTAACAAGAATGGCAGTACAACTGTCAGAGTCACTGTAGAAATGCCTGTAAAACAGTTATAATAAGGGAATGTACCCCTTAGAGTACATGGCTAGACTAGGACTATTTATATTCCTTGTATTCTATCTTTTAATCAACTTGGTCATTTACATTCACTATGATCTGAGTTCTTACAAGACTTCCGCTACCAACTCTACCAAAGCACTTCCTATCCTGTCCAAGATCCTCACTCTAACATTACGCACCTAATAGGGGGTTGGCTTGTTTTGCCATATTCAATTTGCTTTGTTCATCCTATCTGATTACGATCAATATACAACCTTCAACCATTTGCGCTGCCCAATCAGCTTGCAGAATCTGTCTTGCTGTGCTGCTCAGGTCAATGGCGACGGAGGGAATTGTCGCGACGACAACTTCAACATCTCGCACACACTTTCGCCAGGCATAGCACCAGGCGAGCACAACCCATCAATATTTTTGCAGAGCATAGTCCATCGCAATTGGCCGAGCTCAGATTGCCTGGATTCCGAGTGAGGAGGTGAGAAGATTTCGGAGCGTTGGGCACCTTGAATGCTCGCGCTCCGCGATGAGTCAGCATCCAATCACAATCGCACCAACAACACCTCTCTTCTCTGCTCAAGCCCACCTTCCTCCCTGAGAACTTGCCTTCAAAACGGCCGCCAGTCACCAGTAGTTCAGCAGTCAGCCACTCATCCAGGAATTCATACAGCAGCTTTTACTTCAATATATTCCACAATGGCTGCTCTCGCTAACGCTGCTGTGCTCCCCTCCACCTTCGTCGGCCAGAGCGCTGAGCTCGCCGCCAAGGTGAACAATGTCGAGGCCCGCGTGACGATGAGGAAGACCGCCAAGGCGGCTTCCAGCAGCGCCTTCTACGGCCCCGACCGCAACCTGTTCCTGGGCCCCTTCTCCTCCCCCCCGTCGTACCTCACCGGCGAGTACCCCGGCGACTACGGCTGGGACACGGCGGGTCTGTCCGCTGATCCCGAGACGTTCGCCAAGAACCGCGAGCTGGAGGTAAGCCTCACCAGATTCATAACTAGAAATTTCAACAACCCCGAATAAGGAAGTTTCCAGAAAATTTCACTTCGTTGTGTGGCTTGCTTTAGCAAGCTTCCAATTTTCTGTTCACATCGTCACCAACTCTATTTTTCATTCGTTTGCTCCACTCATCAGGTCATCCACGCTCGGTGGGCTCTGCTCGGCGCGCTTGGCTGCCTGACCCCCGAGCTGCTGGCCGGCAACGGCGTGAACTTCGGCGAGGCCGTGTGGTTCAAGGCGGGCGCGCAGATCTTCTCCGAGGGTGGCCTGGACTACCTGGGCAACCCCAGCCTGATCCACGCGCAGTCCATTCTGGCCATCTGGGCCACCCAGGTCATCCTTATGGGTGCCGTCGAGAGCTACCGCGTGGGTGGCCAAGCGTCGGTGTGCCGTTGCCCAATCCGTCTCCCCAGATCTGGCCGACACTTTCACACCAACCCCTCCAACGGCGTTGCACTCCCCCTGGGAAGCAGACCCCTCTCCAGCCTGCCCCCCACCAGTGCCACGCCAGCGCCGGCAGCTGCCACATAGATCTGTACACGTCCTTGCTCTCGTGCAGATCCCAAAGCACCCGATTGCCCAGCTTCCCCTTATAAGTGCGAGCCCCATCCGTGTTGGTGTTCACCCCAGCCTTGCCAAGCTTACGGAGGGAGATAAAGTTGGCCTTCAGATCGGGGACGAGGAGAACGTCGTGCAGCACCACCGGCTTGCCATCCGCTCCCTTAAACGCAGCTCGTCCCGCACCAGCCACCTTCAACATGTGTCCAGAGGCAGAGCACACCTCGTTAATCGGTGCAGCGCGTACGTCGTCCAGCAGGTCCTTGCGCGGCGTCATTGTCCAAACAGCGCCTGTGTCCAACACCCAATAGTCGAGGGGGTGCAGCTATGCTCCAACTTTAGCAGATGCGTCTCCTTGCTCCCCCTTGTCTCCCACATGGAAGAATTGGCCTGCGGTGCGCTCCTTCTTCTTCTCCGCACCGCCGTTGCCCTTCGGGTTGTTGTCGGACGAATCAGCGACCATGTTGGCGCCGTTTTTCTGGTTCCTCCGCGCGCCGCCATCCTGGTGACGATTCTGGGGGGTCCATCCATCGGGTTTCTTATAGCACAAAAACCAGGGGTGCCCCTCCTTCTCACAATACCAGCAACTCCCTTTCATTTTGCCACCAGCACCCGACTTGCCCCCACGTCCAGATTTCGCACCGCGACCCCAACCGGTACCTCCTTGTTGGTCGTTGGAGTCGTCGTCCTTCTTTGCACCGCGTCCAGCACCACCGAAGCCACGTCCTCTACCACGTCGGCTCCCTTGCATCCCATAGCCGCTGCTGCCGTCGTCTCCACCCCTCAGTTGGCGGCGACGGAAGTCCTCCTCCAGAATCTTTGTCCGCACCCACTTGAGTGTCCACGAGCTCTGGTTCTGCGGCAGGCTCAATCCGCTCGTGAATTGAAGCCACGATTCCGGCAGCAGCGAGAGCATCTTCAGGCACTTGGTCTGCTCCGGGTAGGTGATTCATGCGGTCGCCAACTTCGCGTAGAGGTCGCGCAATTTGTCCAGGACAGGTTGCACCGGCTCTCCCTCGCTCAGGCGCAACGCGGACAGCTCCCTCTCCAGCATCAACGTTGCAACAACGGAGGTCGGGGCGTGCAGCTCCTTCAACATGGTCCACGCCTTCGGACCGCACTCAACCTCCGGCAGCAGGTGCATGACGTGGTGACGCTGGTTCAGCTCCAAACTCTGCGACATCAAATAGTAGCCAGCCGAGGAGCGCTCATCCCAATCTTCCTGCAGCGCGGGGTCACTCGGTCTAGGCTCCTCTCCAATCATAAGTTTGAGCAAACCGATCTGACGGAAATGCAATTGCATTTTCCAGGCCCAATCATCATAGCCCTCACCATTGAACTTCTCGACGGTGAAGTTTTTCAGCACCTCCTTGACCAGCGAGCCCTGGTTTGTTCGCGCTCCCCTTGGCGCTGAAACACCAGAATCTTGGCTGCCGCTACGATCTTGGGCTGAAGATTCACCAGCTCCCGTCGAGGTGTTGCCCGCCATAGCTACCTATATCGAGGATCACTATAACGCAGCTCTGATACTAGCTTGTTGGTGTAAAGGGCCTAATAAACTCAAGCTACTAAGACGCAATTCAAACTTAAACCTCTCCTCGGGGTCACCTCCAAGGGTCTCTGGGTGCCTGGTACAAGACCAGCCCCTATCCTCGGGTCCGAGTTTGTAGAGAGAGGGATCAAGAGGGACTTAGTCAAAACAGCAAGAGTACCTTGAACGTCGCGCAGCGTATCGTGCAGACCATCGATCGGATTAAGCTGAGTATTTCCTATATCGAAGCTCGCTCCAAGAGCTTTAAAATGAACCAAGTTGCCTCGCGAAAAGTTCTGCCATTACGAAGTTATGGCTTGGACAGCGTTTGCCTAGCATTGGAGTGCTAGCGTACTAGCGTTGACTCGGATAGCATTCCGCCGTCGCACCGCGTAGAAACGAAATTCCACCAAGGAAGGAATTCACTTGAATCAAATTGACTATATCCAGGTACAAACAGAGAAGGAATAAATAGTTCTAGCTAGCAAGGACCTTGGGAATAAACCTGGGAACAACCAGGGATAATCCCAAATAATTCCAAGCAACAGAACCAACCTGACTGGACAAAACAGCAGGTGGTAGGTTGGTAAACAACCTCTGGTTCTGTTTTTCCAACCTGGGAAAACAACAACCAGGTTCAGGTCCTAAAAACAGAACCTGTTTTGTCTTTGCCCAACCAGCCAAATGCTGGTTGCGCTGGTTTCCCCTGGCCCTGTAGCATGCAGATACAGACAAACAACATCCAACCTTCACCTAAATTGTACCCCTATAGTGCCTGCCCTGCTACACTATAGTCAACCAAGCAAAACAGTACAATTTCGAGTTGGATAGAACTGAATCTGCGCAATCAATTCAACCGAACCGCAAAGCTTCCATCTTGGGTTCCTTTGCGAGCTCGTCCTTTCTGCTTGTACTGTTCATAGCACGTATAATGTTGTGCCAAAGCGCACAATGCGTGAGTACCAGCAAATGCTTCAAGCGAAAATTGCGAAAGCAAACAAACACACGAACATTCCATTCACACCCAAATGCATTCGCACATGCATACTCATACAAACAGACGGCAGGATGTCGTGCAATGTGAATTTGCACCCAACAGTTGGATGCACGTCATTCTTAGTGCATGTCATCCTAACGTCCTGCCGAGTGCTCGTGCTATTCATGCGTGCATTGTTTGTATTAGCATATGTCATTGTGCATGGCTGTTGGATATTTTCATCTCTGTGTTTTTCTCCGAGTTTAAATGATTGATCATGCAGGAGAAATCCAGAGCTTTCCAACGATACCAAGATCGCCTTATTCTGACCAAGATCGCCCAAGTTACAATATTTACAAGACTTGGAATTCTTATTACCTTTTGGGGTTATATCTAATTTGGGTGATTACTTGGTCATGACTATAAAGGGATCTTTGGCTGGGTGGTTAGGGAAGGCAACTTTGACATTTGGATTGGGGTGGCTAGAAGTTTCTAGCATGTGTTGCAAATGTTGCAACACCTAGGCAAAATCCAACTAGACTGGACTTTGCATGTGACACCTCAAGGACCTCATGATGAGGGTTGCATCCTTGCTGCTAGGAAGGTTCCTACCATCCTTCCCTCGCTCTTGGAGAACCCCTTCCCTCTCATGGTTCTCTTGGAGGTTCCCAACTCCAACTCTCATACCCTAATGATTGTCCTTCCTCCACCATTCTAGTCATGCAGCTGCTGGACATTTTTATTTGGTTCTCACTCTCTAGACCACCACGACTGATTCAACTTGGAGATGGTAGCTAAGCCTAAGGCGCACAATCCTACCGAGCGGATTTGCGTTTAGTTGAGAAATGAGTTCGTCGTAAGCTATCAAAGTGACGGATTCTAACCAACACAAAGTCCATGTGGACCAGCTCCAATGGCTTCTTGCTCCTGCCAGCCATACTATGGAAGGGGAAACGGGAAAACTTAGAGAGCAAACAGATTTCACAATTATCATCAGGTGTCCGTTCAGCTTCAGACCCTTAACGGCTCCATATTTCTCCAACTGCTTCAACAAGGGCATTGCCACATGCCTCAAGCGTCGGTGTGCCGTTGCCCAATCCGTCTCCCCAGATCTGGCCGACACTTTCTCACCAACCCCTCCAACGGCGTTGCACTCCCCCTGGGATGCAGACCCCTCTCCAGCCTGCCCCCCACCATGCCACGCCAACGCCGGCAGCTGCCACATTGATCTGTACACGTCCGTGCTCTCGTGCAGATCCCAAAGCACCCGATTGCCCAGCTGCCCCTTGTAAGTGCGTGCCCCATCCGTGCTAGTGCTTACCCCAGCCTTGCCAAGCTTACGGAGGGAGATGAGGTTGGCCTTGAGTTCAGGAACGAGGAGAATGTCGTGCAGCACCACCGGCTTGCCATCCGCTCCCTTGAACGCAGCTCGTCCCGCACCAGCCACCTTCAGTGCGTGTCCAGAGGCGGAGCACACCTCGTTGATTGGTGCAACGCGTACGTGGTCCAGCAGGTCCTTGCGCGGCGTCATCGTCCAAGCAGCGCCCGTGTCCAACACCCAATAGTCCAGGGGGTGCAGCTCTGCTCCAACCTTGGCAGACGCGTCTCCTTGCTCCCCCTGCTCTCCAATATGGAAGAACAGGCCCGCGGTGCGCTCCTTCTTCTTTTCTGCACCGCCGTTGCTCTTCGGGTTGTTGTCGGACGAATCAGCGACCATGCTCGCGCCGTTTTTCTGGTTCCTCCGCGCGCCGCCATCCTGGTGACGATTCTGGGGGGTCCATCCCTCGGGTTTCTTATAGCACAAAAACCAGGGGTGCCCCTCCTTATCACAATACCAGCAACTCCTTTTCATTTTGCCACCAGCTCCCGACTTGCCCCCACGTCCAGATTTCGCCCCGCGACCCCAACCGGTACCTCCTTGTTGGTCGTTGGAGTCGTCGTCCTTCTTTGCACCGCGTCCAGCACTACCGAAGCCACGTCCTCTGCTACGTCGGCTCCCTTGCATCCCATAGCCGCTGCTGCCGTCGTTGGCAGCGACGGAAGTCCTCCTCCAGAATCTTTGTCCGCACCCACTTGAGTGTCCACGAGCTATGGTTCTGCGGTAGGCTCAATCCGCTCGTGAATTTAAGCCACGATTCAGGCAGCAGCAAGAGCATCTTCAAGCACTTGGTCTGCTCCGGGTAGGTGATTCCCGCGGTCGCCAACTTCGCGTAGAGGTCGCGCATCTTGTCCTGGACAGGTTGCACCGGCTCTCTCTCGCTCAGGTGCAACGCGGACAGCTCCCTCTCCGGCATCAACGTTGCAACAACGGAGGTCGGGGCGTGCTGCTCCTTCAATACGGTCCACGCCTTTGGACCGCACTCAACCTCCGGCAGCAGGTGGATAACGTGGTGACGCTGGTTCAGCTCCAAACTCTGCGACATCAAAGAGTAGCCAGCCGAGGAACGCTCGTCCCAATCTTCCTGCAGCGTGGGGTCACTCGGTCTAGGCTCCTTCCCAATCATTAGTTTCAGCAATCCAATCTGACGGAAATAGAGTTGCATTTTCCAGGCCCAATCATCATAGCCCTCACCATTGAACTTCTCAATGGTG